CATTTGGCAAAAAAACTAGGTCCTATGTGTTTGTTGTTTCTGCGTTAATAGATTTGAGACAATTTCTGTCCCGACATTGGTCCTTTTTGCTTGCCTACAATTGTGTGGTGTATTGAATATTGTTTTTCACGTTGTACAACGCAGGGGAAACTGTCACTATTGTGGGTGACCATGATCCAGCATTACTGAAATACTTTGACTGCACTCGCTCAGGGCCACGCTCTGCATTTGACAGCAATGTTGTTTACCAGTTCGAAACAATGGAATATGTAAACTTTTTCTTTCACGAGTTTAACTTGTATGCTTCATTATTTTAGAAGAATGTGTAGCGGATAGAGTTACTGACATTTTTTTATTATATAGATTCTTGATTTTGGATTTGACCGCATGGGTGCAAATGGAATGGAGGTATGGCAATAGATGGAGTAGTGTTTCATTTTTCTCTTTCCCACTAACATTAAGTTTATTGCCTTTTCTTCTATGGTTTAGTTAGTGCTGTTGATATTACTTCTAGATTTGGTGAACTAGTTGTAGAACATTATGGCCTCGAGTTGGTACCTCCGTACATAGTAGTTCTTTTGTTTAATAAATTCATAATCTTCCTTTTCCTGGCAATTGAATAATTTTGACTCACTCTTTCTAATTTAATGTTTATCGCCAGAGCAGATTGACCATCCTGTCCTGATCACAGAATGTGTATGCAACCCAGTTCAATCTCGTAGTAAAATGGCTGAACTTCTTTTTGAGACTTACGGAGTTCCATCAATTGGTACTAATACTTTGCAACCTATAGAAAAAACTTCTTCATATTTTACAAGTGACCTTCTATAGTAAACTGATTTCAATGCAAAACCCTTAAGTACCCTGGTTTTGTCGCATGATTTTTAGGGTTTTTTTTTTTTTTTTTTTTTTTTTTTTTTTTTTTCATTAGGGATACATGTCTGGATTTTGTGCTATATGCTAAATGTGCAATTTTGCTTATAAAAGTTAGTTGTGCTTCCCTGTTCTTGCAGCCTTTGGTGTTGATGTGGCATTCAGCTATAAATATAATCAACAACAAGGAGTTTGTGCTAAAGATGGTCTTGCTTTGTGTCCTGGATTCACCACAACCCATGTGATTCCGGTAAACTTTTTATGTTATTAATGAATTAAAGGATTTTATATGTCAACGAAATGAGTTTGTCATTTCTGTTGCAGATTATCCGAATAGCATCTACCTGAACATGGTTAAATTTTTAAATAGGATCTCATTGTATATTATGATCATCATTGTAATTTTAGTTGTTAACATAGTTAATATGCTTGCGGTTACTATTTTGCCTCTGACAGATTGTTGTCTTTATGGGCCAAGATTGATAATTTGATGAACACAATTTTTTTGTTTTGCACCATATATGCCTTTGTTAAGTAACAGTTGCATGTCATATTTTTGCATCAATATGCCTCATTTGCTCTTATTAGCTTTTTAGCAACTGACTGCCTAGTGCCTAGTCTTATGACAGCCATAATAGTGTTAATCTGTATAATTATCTTTCAAGATAGCTTGGTAATTAATAACAATTATTCATATGTTTATGTTATATATATAAAGGAAATTCTCCTTATGGTCTTCTTAAAATTTTAAGTAGATAAATTAAAATAGTTGTAAACTTATCCTTGTAAAAGAGGGGCGGAAAGTTGAAACCAAAAACTCTTACCTAGTCTTATAGAGGGTATGCTCTTATTGGAAAAGATTTAGGTATTAAAACTTAAAAATTCCATAAAAATAAATGATTTTTTTTGAAAAATATTGATAAATAAAAAGAAATCCATCGGGCATGTGATTGTGCATTTGGGGAGGCCAGTATATATTAATGGCAAATTGTGATCAGTTCTGACAACAGGGATATTCAAATATATATGCAAGTGTGTCTTTAGCCATCTTTTCTTCTAGATAATATTAGAGTCGCAAAATAGGATCAAATAAAATCTACCTAAGTGTTGATAACTTGATATTGTTTGCTTGGATATTTCCAGTTTGTAGATGGGGAGCCTGTTTACAAAGGAAGCTGTCGTACTAATATTGGTGGATTCCATGTGACTGATTATTTGAAGCAACTTCTTTCACTTAAATATCCTTATCATTTGTGAGTGTCAAATCATCTGGGTTATGCTATTACCGAACTGAATGCTAAATTTGAAGAATATTTTAGATTTTATTGATTGCTCATTGCAGGACTAGATTTACATGGGAAAGGGTTGAAGACCTGAAGATGGAACATTGTTACATTGCACCAGATTATCTTTCTGAAGCTCGGTTGTTTCAGGTATATGTATAAATTGTTTTTTTTTTTCCCACTAAGTTCCTTCGTTGTTTCTAAAACTTCATGAATGATCTAATAGAAAGGAGCCAAGGAAGCTGAAGAAAAAACCAGATGTTGGCAGCTCCCTTGGGTTCCACCCCCAACTGAGGAGCCTCCTTCTGAGGAAGAGATTGCAAGAAAGGCAGCAATAAAAGAGAAACAAGGTCAAAGGCTTCGAGAAATGGCTGAGGCAAAGAGGTCTTCTAAGATCAATGAACTGGAAAATGAATTGCACGCTTTAGAGTTTCTTTTGCATCAGCTTGACCAAGTAGAAGAGAGTGAGATTCCATCTTTCCTGGCAGAAACTGGCTATGTTTCTAGGCAGGAGATTGAATCAGCACGTAATAAAGTTATGCAATCTTTACGGAAAGTAAAAGGTGAACCAAAGAATGAACAAGCTGAAACTGAAAAGGCTGATCTTGCGGCTAATGAGAAGTATTCTCTTATTAACATTCCTGATGACATGTTGACGCCAGAACAGGTATGTTTTTGTATCAGGCAGCTGATCTCATGCATTATTAATAAATTGAGCTGTGTGTTCCCACACTTTCAGCTTATTTTGGAGAAATAATTATCTTTTCTTTTGTTGTTTTATGGAGAGATTTTTTTTTCATTTTTTTTTTACATTAAATATTGGGAAAAAGCCTTACTAAACATGCGATAAATGTACTTGTACAATTTTTTCCCGGAGCCACATTTGCTTACAATCTTAATATGATTTAATTTTCCAAATATTTTCTTTGCATGATGTTCTTTGTGCTCTGTGAAGTTAACAATATTCATTTCATTTTCTATATTGATATTTGACAGCTCAATGAAAAGAAGAAACAGTTGTCACTCAAATCTATGGCTGAAGGGAGGCAGCGATTAAAACAGAAGCGCTATGAAGAGGAATTGGAACGAGAGAGACAACAACAGCTAGAGGAGGAGAAACGCCTGTATGTCTGCTTCTTTAGTTTCTTTATTGAGTTTCAAGTTATAAATTGTTTGTGGCTGGCATATGTAAGTAGAAGTGTTTTCCCTTTATATTCAACCAAGTAAAATGGGAGAAAGCAAGAGAGAAGAGCACGCGTTCTATTTAATACAAGGTTACTAGCTTGAATCTGATAAGTATTTCTAAGGACAAGGACGGCAAGGAAAAGTGTGTACTGTATTATCGGCATTTACTTATGCTCACGATACAACTTTTGTCCACAGCATGATTGCAATATTGACTATGTTTTGAATGATTATTATTGTATAAACATTTTTGTGTCTCCTTACTGTAGAGAGAACCCGGAGCTTTACTTGGAACAATTACATACCAGATACAAAGACCTTTCAGAAAGAGTTGACCAACAAAAACGACTTAAGACAAACGGAGGCCATTCAAATGGAAATAATCTGTCCGGTGGTGTTGGCCGTGGTGAAAGACTAAATGCTGCTCAGAGGGAACGGATGCGTCTCCTGACAACTGCAGCTTTTGATCGTGGTAAAGGTGAAGATACGTTTGGTGTCAAAGATGAAGATTGGGAACTTTACAAATTGATGAGCAAAGATTATGCTAACGATGATGAGGAGGGACCTGATGAGGACGAGGCAGAGCTTGCCCGCATCTCTTCTAGGCTCCAGGTTAGTTCACCTTATACAGGATAAAATCCCATAAAATTAATTTACGATTGTACAAGATCATTTTGTACACGGGTCTTGATTTACAGTTCACAAAAACTTTTCTGTATTGTTGATTTGGTAGGAGTTGGATCCAACATTTATACCCAAGTTAGATGCTGGTTTTTCTCAACCTGCTGAGGTGCCGCGTTTTAAACCTCTGACCAAAGAAGATTTTCAGATTTTTCTTGGGGTGGAAAGATTCAGATGTCCTGAAATATTGTTTAATCCAAACTGGATTGGGGTTGATCAGGTAGGATTAGATGAAATGGCTGGGGTGTCAATAAGGAGGTTACCATACAAGGATGAAAGCTTGGAAGAGAGACTGACCAGTTCCATACTTGTTACTGGTGGAAGTTCTCTTTTCCCTGGAATAGTTGAACGCCTGGAAGCTGGAATTCGGATGATTAGACCATGTGGCTCACCTATAAAAATAGTGAGAGCATTGGATCCAGTCATGGATGCATGGCGTGGGGCTGCTTCCTTTGCCTCAGACCCACAGTTCCATACGCAAACTTTCAGTAGACTGGATTATTATGAAAAAGGTGAAGACTGGCTTCGCAATTATCAGCTGCAGTATACAGTGTAATTGATCACAGTATAGTACTGTATATTGTCTAGAATTTTCTATCATAGTTTACAAAGTATAGTATAATTCGTGGTCTTGCTTTTGCTGGAGCTGGAACTGAATGTCATCGAAAGCATGGTGCTACTGCAAATACTTTCAATCTTGTGAATACCAAATACTTGGTTGATATTAAACTGATTTAGTTACCCGTCTAGTTTTCGTTATCCATTCGTGGTCGTGGGTATCTCAGTGCCTTTTGCGCGTTGTACGTTGTTGTTAGGGGAACTTTGCTTCACATTGATGGTAAATAGATGAATGTGATAATTTTTAGGCATCGAATAAAATTAATTTATTAATTCATTAAAAATTCATATACAGCACTGATTCCCCAATTTAAGTCACTTTTATTTTTCTTCTGAAACTATTTAGCAAATACAATTTCCTTCAAACAAACAAAAAATACAATTTCCTTGGCATGGGGCAAATCACAAACCTCTCACCACCCTCCTCAAATATCACAGGAGTCAAGATCCATCGATTAATAAACATCAAAAGCTAGCTAGAAAAACTAGTGAGTTTCACAATCACCTTAATTAACATCAATAAAATGGGACATGTCCTAACATTCTCCCTTGCAAGGAATGTGATGTTGTAAAAGAATCTATATAATAATGTTAGCCTCTGGCTTTAAACCTTGACATATCAAATAAATCTCTCTTGAAGAAGGCCTTGTGGCTTTAGGTCTGAGCCACGACGTCTTCCTAAAGAACGGTTTAGAAATCTGGTTGATCTCTGCACCACACAAACATTAAATAAATAAATAAAAAATAAAAAAATCAAACACCAGACTCACACTAGAAAGTAGAAACACAACCAAACCAATGCGCTTGAATTGAACAAGGAATAAAGAAAGGAAGCACCTTTAGCATCTTCACTCTCGAGAAGCTTGACAACAAGGTGCCCTCCAACTCGCAACACTCCGCCACTCTCATCATCATCATCAGCACCTGGCTCCAGGTGAATTCTGTCGCCGAGAGCCAAACCCAAGGCCCGCATCCCGAGCTCAAACGACAAGGCAGCGTCTTTGGTGGTGATTCCGGAAACCAAGGGACACATATCGGAAAGAACAACGGAAAACCCTTTTTGGGCGGGAGAGAGAGCCCTGAGGCGGCGGCGAGGGAGCGTGGTGACGTCAGCGGAGAGGGTTTGGACCCTGGAATCGCAGTGGAGAGGGGGAGGCTTGATCTTCTTGGTGTCGACGCCGAGGACGGAGCCGCCGCCGCGGAGGGGACCCAGGCTCTGGCAAGCGACCTGGAGCCAGGCGCCGGGGGCGCAGCCGAGGTCGAGAACGGCGGCGCCGGGGGTGATGAGCTTGTGTTGGCTTTGTATCTGAAGGAGTTTGAAGGCAGAGCGAGCCACGTAGCCCAGGCGTTGCGCCTCCTTGTAGAAGAAATCCGCTGTTCCTCCCACACCCATCTTCCCCACCTCCTTCTCCCAAGGGTTTTCAGTACTAATTAACTACTTTTTGCACAAAAATTTAGGTCAACAAAAATAAAATTATACCCCACCATTTAATAACTTCTAAAACCTCAAATTTAATTAACTATGTACATTTAAATGGAAAAAGTTAATTATTTATATATAACCTTGCACTGCCATGCACAAAGTGAATAGAACATAAATAGATAAGATAGGGCCAGGTGATTATTAGATTATTATATAGTTTCAATTTCCGACATAAATAATTATGCCAAAATAAAATATGTATTCATCGTTAAGCGGACATAAATGTGTAAATTTTTCTAACAAGGAAAATAAAACAGCAAATGAAAAAGGAAACATCAAAATGGATCCCAAGTACTTGTTGCATTGATAGAACTAGAGATAATTACAAGGAGAACAATTTCTTTTTCCTTTGTTATGCTGTCATGTTCTTTTGACATTCCTACTTACATTCATGAAACTAAAACAAAAGAAATAAAGAAAACAACTAAGTTCCTATCAGAGCAATCTTATTCCTTAAAATCATTTACAAATGCCAGCCTGCTTGAAATTAAAGGCCAGCAATGAATTTGGTGAGGATATTACACGAAATTGAATCAGAATGTACAAGTTTGTTTTCCACTACTACAAGTCAACAACGTTAAATTATTTCTACATGATCACAACATCAACGCTGTTTGTCTCATTTGGCTTAGGCTTCTATGACCTTCATGGTTGCAGCTTGATGCTTGCCGTGCTGCTTGGCTTGGTGGTGAGACCAGTAAGCATGAGCAGCCAAAACCCTGTTCAATAGATCCTGGGGAACTGGTTCTCCTCTCCTTTGTTGAGGGGAGATTTTTGCAGTGTGCACTAATGTTTTCCATTTATCCTGTGAAGTTTGAACAGCCATAGATCAGGTGTTCAGCAATTAAACAATGCAAACATTTCAATGGAATCAAATCAACATGTTCACTTTCCTTTCTATGCCTCCTTTCTTCTCCCTTTATTTTTTTTTTCTGTCACGGATATAGTTGTCACTAGATCAAAAACTAATTTTATTCATAGTACTACGGTAGTCGGTGACCTAAAAGGTTTTCACACATAGCAAAGATAAACATGACAAGAAAAGGGTTTTCTTATCCCTTTTACTATAAACAGATATTCCAGCAAAAACAGACTAACAACTAAGAGAGAAGATTGCAATTTAAAAGAGAAATTTATGTAGTGAGATGTCATTTTCAATTGGATGAATAGGAAAGGGGACTGGTGATTTGAATCTCACTATAAAATAAGCCTCTGATGTGATAACCAAGATAACTGCAAAATTGAGCTACTAATCTTCCTAATATTTTATAAAGAAAGTATTAAATGAAAAATATATTTAATGTTTTGAAAACATAAAAAGCATTCAATAGTTACCATACAAAGCAAGTAGGTAGGACGATTAACAAGAAGATGTTGTAGGAGGATTTAGAATTATTCGATTCTATATATTCAATGCAAATGGACTAATCGATGTAATAATGCAACTACGAGGGGCATCAAGATCCCCAGAAAATTAATAAAAGGGAGTACCTTCAAGTCAACATAAGTCCTATGGTCTGCACTTTCAAAAGCTTGCAACTTTACATCACGCCACCTGCATGGTGAAAACATAGTCAGTAACCAATTTTTCCTGTTTGTATGTAGGAGAAGCAGATAAACATCGAACCTTCCAGTTCCAAGTTCCTCAACTGCCTGAACAAGTGCTTCTACTTCAGACACAGAGAATGGTCTCCTAGTTCGACGCTGTACAAGCTCAGAGCGCCTGGTTTTCTGATTCACAGGAACCAGAGCTAATGCTTCTGTACTCCTATCTGGAACAGCAACTAGGGCTCTGGAATCTGGTGTTAGTTTGTCAGCTGTAGTGTCAGTCAAGGAAGAAGTGGAGTCATGGTTAATTTCATCAAGGTTGGAAGTATTTGTCAGCAAGGAGGAATCCTGTAAGGCATCAGTAACCCCTGAATCGAAGATGGGAGTTCCTTGGGACCTAGAAAAATCAAATTATGAAATTAGATATTAGATATGAGTCATGATATATATCCTCCTACTACCTCATAAAGAAAGTATTAAATGAAAAGGCTCCTATATTTAATGTCTTGGAAATATAAAATTCATTCAATACTTACCATATAAAGGAAGTAGGAAAGGTTTAAAATTATTCATTAGATTTAGATATATAGACAAAGGGAACGTTTAATTGACTAAGGTGAACCATATCCAAATTTCACCAGATGAGCATAAAAACAATTAAACTAAACACATGCAGTAAATGAAGGGCATCTGTTATCACAAATGTTGCATCATAAAATCAGCTGTGGTTAAGAAAAGAAACTGTGTTATCAACATTGACTCACCTGGAAGGCTTGAGGGTTTTGCATTGAGAAGGATCTCCAACACAATCAGTAGGAGAAGATTGAAAAGAAGTGGGCTCCAACATGAAACCGAGTTTATCCAGATTTTCTTTACACGATACACCAGTCTGAAGAAGAGTTCTGTTGTCATCTTTTACTTTTTTCCCCTGAACAAGAACACCCACATGCACTCCACCTCCGAGTATAGTCATCACTGCCTCCGTGACTGTCCTCTACAAAAGTATTGTAAAAAATTAAATTTCATTACCATAAGAAAAAGGGATGTTCAGCAGCCACTTCAATCTGTGGATGAAGTTCAATGACAACATTAACATTTTTTTCTAAAATAAAATTGAAAATATAGTTCATGCATACCTTTAGTGAACCAACAGTCGCAATTTCAGGAACTTCAACATAAAGTTCTGGAATCTTGAATGACTTGATGCTAAACTTAACTGTACACAATGACATAACATCAACTCCTACAGGGTGCAGCTGTGAAGAACAATTGAGCTAACCAAAACTAATGAACACCGTGTAATTAATTACCATGAGAATCCTTAGCTTGTCGCGGTTTTCCAGATGAGCCAGGGTTATCTCCATCAATTCCTTTCTCATGTGAATCATATACACTGTCGCTGCTGAATCCTCCATCAGAAGTTACCACTGAACCCCTGTCAATGAATTTGCTACGCTTGAAAAGAGTGCAATGCTGAGGTCTATCAAAACTGTAGCAAGTTTTCCTCTTACGATTAAGAGTTTTTACTCCCTCATCTGCAAATTATATGTTATATAGTGAAAAACAAACATAACCAATAGACTTGATATGCATCAGTTAATGAAGCACTTGATAGCAGATAATTTATTAACCACCTTACCAGATCTAGAATGTTCATAGTCCTTCAACTTTGGAGCAACCTTCCAGGATTTGGAAGTCAACCGCTTCCTGATTATGCGGTGTGAAATGCACTGTTGAGGTCTAAAAGCTTTAGACTTGGTGCCAACTTTGTTGCACCTTATAAATTTTTCGTCATCATCAATAAAACCTAACTTAATATCATTCCCATGCCCGGAAAAGGCAGATTTGGGAAACTGATTCCTACACAATGGAGATTTCACATCACTGTTTGAATTAACTAGTGCAGGAGAGTTAATGCACAACTCCAATGGGTCCTTCGAAGGAACTTTATTTTCCAACGATAATCCCTCAAAGGCTGAATTGCCAGCCTCTTGATCTTCAGGTACTTCTACCAATCTGTTAGAATGATTTACAAACTTATTCTCCCATTTGAAAATTTTAGACTTCACACCAGCTTTGATATTTTCCCAACTGTCAGAATTATCTTTAGCTGAAACACATTCTAATACACTATCAGTCTTGACACATGCAAAGGGTTTCTCACCACTCTTCTGTGAGCCCACCTCAGTCATAAAAATACTTTCTACACAACTTCCATTATGAATTCCCACTTCTTTTGATGGTTTAACTTCATCACATCTTTCCTTCTCAACAACACATTTGCTAAAGGCCAGGTGATGATTTCCTTCAGATGCATTGCTAGAAGCAGAGCTTTCACTCTCTTGCAACAACTTGCCAGCTAAAGATGCCAGTAGTTCAAAAGCACAAGCTTGGCCATCCTCAGCTGGTTTCTTGAAAGGAACCCTCCTCCTCTGAACAATTACAAACTTGAATAAAATATAGTTCGAAGCACAAAATCACAAACCAAATAAACAATTGCCATAATTGCAGCGATCACTTACTCTTGCAGATCTAGGATGTCTAGGTATAACGGGGACCTGAAAGCCCCTGAATCCATAATCAAGCCTTTTCTTCAACACCATAGCATGAATATATACAACTCATCAATTAACCAGAAGCATCAGTATACCAGATCTTCGTCACTGTCATAAAATAGAAAAATACCCACGTATCAACTTGATTTTCATAATTTGCTAGATTTTGCATATTGGGAAAGAAAATCCATTAGATCACTTGAATAACTTAAGCCAGTGACAAATATTCAAGAATAAACCATTATGACACTACCATTATGATTAGATATTTGCAACAATTTCAAAGGAAGAGAACCTTCTTCAAAACCAAAAACAATTATATGCCAAACATTTACTTAAATAATCTAAGCTTCACTATTATGGGAAATTGTTATTTATAACAAGATTTAAGGAGACAACTAAGATTTTGTCTCACTACAAAAATGAAGGCAAAAGGAAGATTCGCTGATCATAATATTATTTTGGCACAAAAAAGTGAGAAAAATCAATGAGGTTAACCAATTGAAGGAACCAGATCCCAGATATACAAAATCTTCCATATTATTACCATTTCAGCCTCAAGTGAAAACAGGAGAAAAAATTAAGACAAGATGTAAAACAACTCAAGCAAACAACCCAGTTGATTCACGAATGCATGCCTCTTGGTAAGATACATAACATATAAGTAAAACAGGACATGCAAGAGAATGAAAGACAAATCCATGACTTAGCAAATAGAGAAATTTGAAAATTGAACGCATGGAAGCACAATGCTAACATAGGTTCAAACGAATAGCGAGGAAGCAAATCAAATCCCATGACCGTCTCCCCAATATGGCAACACATGATGAACCATAATAAAATTAACGAATAAACACCAAAATTCGGAAAAGGAAAGATTACACACACTTCAAAAAGCGGATGAACCGAAAAAGAAAAGTCAACACATGCACATCCAGAACAATTACAAGGCTTCATAAAGTTAATGAACATAATTTCGCGAGATCAACAATAAACATCCCTCAATTTTACTCTTGAGCACCAAAAAGTTCAGAGTTTCAAGCCAATTCAGCAACATGAAGAAGACACCCCAAAATTCAACCACCATCCCCCCTCCGCCCAACTAAAAAATTAAACGCCTTAAAAATTCAAACTTTAGAATTGAAATGAATGGAAACCCAGATGGCCTAACTTTACCGATCGGATCTCAACCTCACAAGTCATAACCCCAGAATTTTGTTGATGACAAAATTGACAACCCAGAGAGAAAAATCAAAACTTTCAAAATTAACATAATCCAGCATCTCCCAACATTCAACGAAAAACACGAGAATCGGAAGAAAACAAAACCTTCACAAAAAGCACAAGATGGCAGAAACATCAAGAGGAAGCAAAATTCAGAATCCTTAACATGCAACTGACCTCCCAGTCCGAGGTTGAATTGCGATCAAATTGAAAGGGAAAAGCATCGAAGTTCCCGAAAATGCATAAGAAATCTAAGGAAGTTAAAATCCCAGATCTCTTTCAAAAATTCATTTATATATTTTAACTTTTGTGAGAGAGATAGATAGGATAGAAGGAGATAGAGAGTTAGAGTTTTAAAGGACAAAAACCCACCAACACCAACAGCATATAAACTACCAAAAACCACGCAACAGTGTCCTCAAACCTTAAACCCCCCTTTATTTTTTTTATTTCTTTTTCACTTGTAATTTTTTGACCGCACAACGAGCAAAAAGACTTTGATATCCCTCGTGATAGTGGAGCAGGTTCACGTGGAGTCCTCTTGTTCTTCTTGCGTTTCACAAAAAATGCCACGTCGCATTCTTCTCCGTTCAAACAACCAAGCAATAAGAGATGGGATCCCTGTTTATTGTTTTCCTTAATTTCTTGTGGTGTTCTTCTTTTCTCTCGTTTTTCATGCGGTCATAAATTTATGGCGTGTGAATTTTAGCTATTTTATGGAGTACAATTGGTACTGTAACGCAAGTATTTTTTTTTTATAAAAGTTACAATTAAACAAGAGACTTTTATTTTTTTATTCAAAAGCTCTTTCAGTTAATTTTTCATACATACTTATAAATTTAATAAAACTGTACATTCTTGTTCTTATTTTATAAAAATCTTAACGGCCAAAGTTTGCAAGCTTTCCCAAATCTTATAAGAGAAGATAATCCAACCTTAACTTGTATTTTTAGTTTTATGATAAAGTGAACGAGAGAAGTGTGAATATTGCAGTACTTTTTAAAAGAGATGAATGAAATGAGTGATTTTCTGTTTCATTTTACAAGCAAAAGCAATTGCTTCTACCCGAAAAACCAGCGAATGCATGAAGATCTCTTTGGCAATAAGGAAGCTTCCCTATTTCGAGAAAAGACTGGTTTCATTGCTCAACAACTGGTCTATATTATTTGTGTTTTTTTTTTTCTCTTAAAACTTTTTTATTTTATTATCTTATAAATAATTATATATTAATACTATAAAATACGATCTCATCATGTAGGCTTGTTTCACATAATGACATCACAATAATTTTTTATATTTTAATTTTAAAAAATACATTATTAAAGAAATTAAAGTGATTATAATATGAATTTTAATTTTATATAAAATGAAATTTAAATTTATGAAATACTTTTTATGATTATTCTTAGAATAGTGGATTTGAACCTAACTCAATCCTACAAAACTGACTTGTAAGATGAAGATTGTTTTTCACTTATATATTATAATATTAATTATCTAATCTTTAGTCGACGTGTGACTTGAATTTTTTTCAATAATTATAGTAATTAATTCTTAAATAATAAATAAATTTAATTATAATACATTTAAGGACGGAATTCAAATCATTCAAATTGATCATTATTTCAAATAATAAATCTATTTTGATTTTTTAATGTTAATATGAACATTTGCATAAATTAAAAAAAAACGTATTACGAATTAATCATTTTACAAACTTACATAAATATAAAATATTTTTAATCATTTTCTATATACAGTAACGTAATTATTACAAAATAAACTTTTTAATTTAAACTATAATACTTTAACTTTTCTTTTAGAGGAAATTAACGATTTAGTTGTTCACAAGATCACCAAACATTGATGTTATTCTTAAAATATTTGTATTATTAATCAATTACTTCTTTTATGTAAGTACTTATTTAGAGAGTTCGTTAGTATCACTTAATTGCTGATTTATACATCCTTTAATTACGTTATATTTTATTTAATTTATTTACATCAATATAATTACACCAATATCACGTATATAAACAAAAAAAATAATTAATACATATTATAAAAATTATTTAATATCATTTAATTACACTAATTTTATTTTTAAAAAAATACCTTTTTAACCATCTTATTGATATAAGAAAAAAAAACATGTAAAATAAAATTTCATTAAATAATGAGTATTTTAGAGATAATAATATTAAATTAAATTAAATTAATTAAAATTTGATTATATTTGAAATCAATACTCATGTTTGCTGTTTGTTTTTTATTTATGTATATATTTGAAATCAAAAGGAAGTATTGAATAGCATAGATAATACTACCTACGTTTCTATATATAAGAAACAAAAGTTTTTTTTTTCTCTTAAATATAAGAAATATAATCATATTTTTATTTGTATTAATTAATAGATTCTTTTTATATCCCCAATTTATTAAGAAAGAGGCACTGACCAATTTTTCATATTAGTGTTATTAAAGCATTTAATTGTATGGATATTTTAATAATAAAATTTAAATTTATGATATATTAATTACGATTAACAACTGACATTTCGTTGGTTTGTGTGATTTTCGTCTTATGTTTCTTATATATAGGAATGGAGGGAGTAATATATTTCATAATTGATTTAATAAAAGACTATGAGATAACACAAATTAAGCGAAAAGATGTAATACCACGTTTTTCTTAAATTATGTATATTTGTGACATATGTAATTAAGAATTTTATTATTTTTAGTTTATGTTGGGGTAAAGTTAGAGTTGAGATAACTTTAAATTTAAGTTGTAGAGGATATAACTTAAGCGTGTGAAAGTTGATCCACAAAAGGTTGAGGTATATATGATGGATTTTGAGAAATGAACTTCATAAGTTCATAATTCCATAATTTTTAGAGAGAAGTTAAAGAGAGGTGCTCTGGAGTCAATGGGGTTCGATCTTTGATCTGATTCAAGTGGAAGGTATTTTTTCTTCATTTGATCATGAGTTGGTGTGGTGGGAGTTAATATTCAAGTTGAAGAACTGAGAATTTTAGAGAGAAGCCATCATACGAAGGGTTTCGGGGTTTCGCTTCTCTTCCTTCCTTTCCTTGATTCAGGAGCAATTGAGGTAAGGAAAGCTTGTTGTTTGATCTTTTATGTTGTATAGGTTGATTTTAATCTATTGATTCATACTCTAGTAATCATTTAAGTTGAAATTGAATAGTATAAACTTGGATTTTCCTTATTCTTGGTGAAGAATGAATAGGAATTGAAGATCTTGTAATACATTGTTGTTACATGATACATTTTCTTCTATTATGAGTTGTATGATGCTAGTATGTGATGGGATCTGAGTTGCATGCATGTTTTTGTGGTTTTGGATGTAAGGATTTGAGTGATTTCTTTTAGATGCTAAACTTGTTCTTATTCATGCATGTTTTCTTGGCTCACTTGCTCAAAGTGTTCAAGGAGTCGCTCAAAGCAAGTGAATGTGATCACTTCAGGAGTAGTCTCTAACTTTACTCGCTTAAAGCACTTAGTGGGGCACTTGAAACAAATTTTGGCAGGGATTATTTAAGGTTTTCTACACCCTATACACATATCTAAATTATGAATATTCATGCATTGTTGCATGATAACCATAGTTTAGTATATTATGTTTGCTTTCTATTGCGTAGTATTATATTATACCAAGTATGGTGACTTATCAGATCATTATAGAAGAAGACTAAGAAAACTTAAATTTTTGTTACTATATACATATATATAATGAGACAAAATTTTGTCTCAAATAAAAAATATTCAAAAGATAAAAATATTTTTTTTATTAAAATACTTTGTTAATTTTCTAGTTTCTCGTACTTCACTTTTTAATCTTTATGCTTTAAAATAATAAAAAAATTAGTGTTTATACTTATCTTTTTCAATCTCTTTTAGGACATGGGCTAGGGTTGTCATCCCTATCATATGTTGTATTGTGATCCATTAATTTTAACATTTAGAATAATTTAATGTTTAGATCCTTATGGTGCACCCTTTGCACTATATTCCTTTCTCAATCTACCACTATAATTTTTTCGGTCTCCACACTAGTCATTCTACTTCCCTGCCTATTCTCCATGTCTCCCTCTTCAGCATTGACCTATCGAATGCAATTTACGTCAACACCTTCACCATATCATGCTGAAAGCGATGATTAAGGATGTTCTCTAGCAACTATGATGACACAGTTCACTACGTTAAAGTGGTGTATGTAATCCAACAATTTATGTCCTTTATGGCGAAAAAACCTTTCATCTTCTTCCTTGCCAAAACTCCATCATGACACCACCATTGACGATTACTAGAAAAACCTTTTTTTTTCTTTCGCTTTAACAATGTTAACGTTGCCAGCATCAATTGTCCCTTCACTAACAGCATTCACGAGGTAAAGATGTCTAATTTGTCCATAATGCTCCAAATGAAGAGATGAGCCACCATAGAATTTATTATGTTTTAGTTTGTATAGTTTGAGATAGATCTTTTAACTCTATATTTGCAACTTTTAATCCATTTAATTATTTTCATTAATTTTTTTTGTAACGTTATTTCATTTGTGCTGACATAACAAATTATTAAAAAAAATTTGTCTTATATCAAATTTATTTTAATAAAGTTATTTTAAATTAAGTATCTTAATGTTTTATGCATCTTTTGTACTTTTACACATGACCTCTATTGTATAGACACATTTTTTATCCTCACAAAATTAAAGACCTTTATTATGTTATCACAAAACAGACGTTATAAAAAAAATTTTAATGATAACAATTAAAAGAATAAAAAATTATAAATATATGAATTAAAAAAAATTATCTTAAACTATAAAAGCTAAAAAAAATTAAAAAAAACCATTTACTTTGGCTAACCGCATTATAAAATTAAATAATAATAATTTGTTGAATTTAATTTATCATTAGATTAATATTTAATGGTATACTTTGTCCAACAAACTTTAAATTATTAATAGCGAAAAAAGTATTAATCCATCCTAAATTTTACTACTTTTACGTATTCTGAACATTAAACTTATTTTAATCCATCCTTAAATTTTATTTTATTTGTAAATAAATATCATAAATTTTAATATTATTTTAATTAATCTTTAATTTTTTTTTATTTTGTAAATAAATATCTTCAACTATAATTTCATTATAATTGATATTTACTATTTGTAATTGTAGCAACCTCGGTCGCGACGGGACGGCGAAAAATAAATTGAAAAAAAGAAGTCGCCACCAATGTTGTTTTTAAGGAAAAATATTGAAAAAACCATAAAATAGAAAATAGTCTACGAAAACCAAATTTTTGAGTTCGGGAGTCGATTACGTGTGAAGAAGGTATTAGCACCTTACAACGTTCGTCGTAAGA